TAGTCTTCAGTATTGGCATATTTTTATGTTTAGGTTTGAATTCACATTGGAATAAAAAGCAAAGTTGTCTATAAAAATAACTAATAATCTTTTTTATCAACCATAACAAATATATCACATATGAAAATAGATGATAGGATACAATATATTCAATAATTTATAGTAAAACTGCTTTTTTAATTTAATATGGCAGAAAAAAGTGTATGGTTTTAACCTAATAATTACTTTGCAGTTTAGAAATTGTTATAATAAACAATAGAAATAACTTATTTACTATTTAATAATTTTTAGAGATGTGCTATCAACTGAGATCCAATCACAGCATAAGAAAACTTTTTCTCTAATATTCTGATTCTGAAGAACAAATGAAATTAAATTATCTTTTCAAGATTTTCTCCCAATATCAAACAGCATTCAAAAATTTTGAATGATAATTTTCAAGACAAGCCCTTTTTATTTTGATGCAACACAATCTTTCTGCCCTCTTTGTGGCTGTGCCATATTAAGCTTACTAAATATCAAAACATTAATCCATTAGCCCAGTAAGATTTGAACTCAATGAACTGTGTACTTATTTTATTCAAGAGAGAAACATGTACATCTTCAAGAATAGAGAAATAGATGCACATTGCTATGTGGGTGATCCTGTCAATTAATAGCAAGTATCTTAATATGTATTAGAAATATTTTACCATGTGTAGCCATATACGTGAAGTAGATTTTTTTTTTTTTTTACTAGTGGATACCATTCTTTACACATTTAATTAGTAGTTTCAACTTAGAAGAGATCTTATGATCAAATGTTCAACTCATTTACTTTATTCCAATACCAAGAATTAAAAAACTTACATATGCTCAAAGATATACATTTTACAGACAACTACCAGGCTGAGTCAAAGGTTTTTTTTTTTGGTTTTTTTTACTGATGATTTTTGACAACTTGTATCTTAATTATCTGTCTATATTTCTGAGGTGAGGTATTGTAACTATTTACACTTGGTACATTATGAATATGACAAGATGAGAACAACAATATTTTGGCTGCTGTACACTCCGGCCTTCTTCAGGGGATTGGAATTTCAAAAAGAATCTTTTATGCTACCTGTGGAAAAAAAAGGACTGAATGCAAGGGCAATGGTAAAAGAAATTAATGATGTAGAAGGACCAGGAACTGTCAATGAACATATGGCACAAAACTGGTTCAAACATTTCAAAGAAGGTGACATCAGCCTCGAAGAAAAAAAACCAAGGTCAAGGAGACCTTCTGTTGTGGAAGATGAGGCCTTGCTAGAAATGTTTGAACAATAGCCAAGCAGAAGCACTCGTACATTGTCAGTAGAACTTGGTCCTTCACAAAGCACCATCAATTGACACTTCCCTAAGCTCGACCCTGTGAACAGATGCAGACAAGAAGATCCTCATGAACTGACCAATGACAAAGCTCAAAAAAGTGTGAATATTTGCAAACAACTGCTGGCAAATTCTCAAGATACCTATTTTTGCCATCAAGTTATAACTGGGGATGAAAAAAATGGATCTATTTTCATTTCAGCCAGCCTCTTCAGAACCTGCTGCCAAATAAACAAAGGCAGTTTGAACAGAAGGTCATGCTGTGTGTTTGGTGAATTTTGAGGAGGGAGGGTGCACATCCAGCTTGTTCCAGATGACCATACTGTGAACGCTGACCTTTATGCTCAACAACTGCAGTGAGTGTAAGATACTTTGAGAGCCCACTACCTGGCATTGGTCAATCGAAGATGCACAATCCTACAGCAATGACACAGCTAATGTGACGAAGAGCAAACTTTAAGAACTGGAAGTGCTGCCTCAACCTGTCAATAGTCCAAATCTTGCACCATCAGATTACCACCTTTTTCTGAGCCATGACTCATTTCCTGTGTGGATAGAGGTTCAACAATGTGGCCGAGGTTGAAAATGGGTGCAGGGAGTTTTTTTTTTTTTTAACCTCTAAAGCAACCAAATGTTATAAGCCTGGAATTGAGCTTTTGACACAATGATGGCAATAGACAATAAAATAGGATGGGATACATTTTGATGAATAAATGCTTTTCATGTACTTTGAACTATTAATTAAAGCTTGAAAAAAAAAAAAAAAAAAAAAAAAAACTTTTGATTGAGGTTTTCCTGTCCCCAAATATATTTACTCAAAATTAAGTGGCATTAACAGCATGAGAATGGAAAATGGTATGAAACATAAATGATTTTCAATTAAAAACTTCTGAAATGGAATTATTTGAACCACAATTGATATAAAATTTGAAACAAAGCCATTTGTCTGAAATGGGAGCAAAAAAAAAGTAACTGTATCCATTATAGCAAATCCAATAAAAATGTTTAGAATTCAGTATTAAATAACCCAAAGAGGTTGATATGCCACTAAAAAAAAAAAAAAAAACAAAAAAACAAACAAACAACCAATCAACCAATAAAAATAAGTTGAATAAGTTAATAAGGCATTAGTCAATGCCATTGTGCTATT